TGATGAAATTTGATTAGGAGTTTGATTGTAGAGATTTTATAATGTTGAATAGAAGTTGATTTCATGCTCGAATCGAATCAAAATCAAGTGAAATCATGAAGCCCTACCCTTTTAAGTTTTGTCCCAAGCTTTAGAATTTGAGAAATATTATGTAAGGATTGGAAAAGATGTAGAAAGTATTCTACAAGCCTTAGAAAATTTTGGGAACCATTTTGTAACTTTTGGAAAATTGGGAGACCTATTGGCTAATTATGGGAAAGTTGTGGGTTAACATGTAAATGTGCAATAGTTGATGTACTATGCTGGAAATTAATGTTTGAGTGTTGAAATTGAAGTTAGGATGTGAAATTGGATTATTTTGGAATGTTGGTTAAAGTTGAGGTTCAAATCAAAAATACGGAAAAGTTTGGAACTTAAGTGAATGTTATGTGAAATTTGGATAAAAATGGACTTGAATGGTCAATTTGAAGTGTTCTGGTCAAAAATTATGTTGTGACATGGAATTAGTATTGAGTGAGTATCAAAAGAATATTTAGGAAATTATTTTCTATTGTGTGCCTATGTTAGTAAGATTCTAACATGTGGTTTGAACTTGTATATGTTAGGTAATGATGCTCATTTAGATTGTGTGATTGAAATCAAGATCAAATATTATCAAAGCTAAGGAGAAGCTTAAGGATGAGATGTGAATTTCTAAGGAAAGTTTACAAGTTAACGACATTAGGTGGGTGCAAATTTAATTTGTACTTATGTTATCGAACAAACATTGGCTTGCGATGAGCCAGTGACAGAGTTATTATGGTAAAAAGTGATTTCTAATTGTCATGTGTTTTGTGCTTCATGCATATATGTGCATTTGGTGAGCTAATAGAATTAGTAAGTAAGCTGAAAATGCAAATTGGTGAAGTCCACTTAGAAATTTAAGTTTCAGGCAGTAAGTTTAGAAAATCACCATAATTGCCACATAAATAATTAGAGATTGAACTTTATACTGTTGGATTTTTATATCATTCTAGTTTTATTCAAAATAAACGGAAACACATATTGAGGTGTACACAAAAGGATATAATTTTTTTAATCAAGGATAGGTCAGAAAACAGGACAACATATTTTGCTTAAAACAAATTATGTCGGCCAATTTTGAAAATTCATTATGAATTGTAAAAATTGAACTAGAAATATTACCTTATATTTTTAGATTCGTATTCGAGTCTAGTTTCCATTAGTATAAATGGAATAATTTTTGAGTGTTTCGATTAATACATTATAATATTTCTTTGAAGGTAGTGCAAACTATCAGCATATGAAATTATGATAAAATTTCGGATTTAACCAAATTAGAAACAAAAAATCAAGTTAAAGCTTAGTGAGCTTATAATTTGACTTGTATATAATGTCAAAATGAGTGCAATGTATGCATAACACTATACATGGATGTTTTTATACATCACTGGGTAGGACTTGCGATAAGTCTACCTTATTTATATTGGCATGATATTTATGTCATTTATCATATAATTGGCATATTCTAAATATGTCAAAGGTTGGATATAAAATGCATTGATCACTGTTTATATATGATGGTTATCATGAATATATATATGATATTTATCATGAATGATATTTCGAGTAGGAACTGCCCAATGTTAATTTATAATAATATATTGTGCCATGGATGGATTAAATAAATATAGACTATATGCTCAAGTTTGTTGTTGAAGGTCAATGGTATTAATGGCATGCCATAGATTCTAGTAGCTGCACATTTGGTAGCATTAGTGTGTCTAATGAAGGCACATGGTCCATGCCTTAGAGTGTCTAGCGAAGATTCACGTTACGAGACACTAGAGTATCTATATAAGACACTTAGTGTATAAGGTGGGCACTACCCGACCTCATGTGAAAGCACTACGGTGCTATATTTGACTCCTATATCGAGGTCCTCATAGGTTTATATTTTGGGGTATGGTTTATTGGTTAATAAATGATAAACAGGCAAATAAGCTTACGAGCTAATGGAATAAATGGAAAGTGTATTGGTAAGAAACTTTATATCCGGTTATATCATGTTAATATATAGTGACATTGTTGGAATATAAGTAAAGTGATCATATTGCATTGAATATTGTTATTCATTTAAATCTATGTGTTGCATTGCTTTGAATATTTATATGATTGCCTCACTAAGTGTATACTTAGCGTGTGATGATTTTCACGTGTAGGTGAAAGAAAGAAAAAGGAGTATGGAGCTGAACTTGGCATAATTCACCAAGGAATATTTACAGGTAACAATAATGACATCCGACTGTGTTTCTAAATTTTCTAGCTGGCATGTATATGAGTGAATAGTGTTTACAAATTTTTAATATGGCTAGAATCAAAAAGAATTTGTCGTATGAAATAATATTATTATTATATTGCTATATGAAGTTATGTTTTATGTATTAATTGATTGGATTTTAAATCAAACACTTTTTACACTATTTTATTTATTATATGAAATAAAGCAGAACTACTTGCTATTGCTTGAACACATACTTGAAATAGAAGTAATTAAAATTATATTTTGATTTTCTTTGGTCATTTATTTTATAATAAATGTACAAATATTGAATTTATGAAAGAAACAAGATTTTACCTATTATGGGTTAACAAATATTTTGAATATTTGATGTGACATTGTTAACCCGTAATAGTACATTATACGGGTTAATGGTGTTACAGAAGCAGTATTGGTACTTCCAAGAGAAGTACATATACTACCCATATAAGTATCAATACTTGAAATAAGAGTATCGATACTGTCTTTATGATCTTGACAAATGCAAATTTCAGTATACCATTTTAGCATCATTACTCCGATGAGTATTGATACTCCCTTGGTGACTACCGATACTCTCCTTCATGAGTACCAATACTCCTCTTCTCAAATGCCTAGAATTTTTGTATTTAATGCAGACAATATCGATACTCCAAGCATGAGTACCGATACTCAAGGCGTCTGGGCAGCATCTATTGTGGGAAATTTCGTCCTAACGACTCTATTAACTCCAAAAACAACCCAAACGACTAGAATTGAATGAAGAAGTATAAAAACAAGACTCCAAGTCATATGTGAACACAAGAGATCAAAGAGAAAGTCAAAGCAATCACATTGAGCAAAAACCAAAATCAACATTCCTCAACATTCATTTTGCTTTCAAAGAACACTTTTGTAATCTTTTGTTTTATTTGGCAAGTGTTCTTATTTGTTTTTGAATTGTTGAAACAATTTCCTTGTGAGATTTTTCTAATTTTGTAAATTTGTAATTTTTTCTTTGAGAAAGTGTCTTAAGAATTTGAAGTATAATTCTTGAGGAGTTGTAAAGTTAGATATTGTCCTAAAAGTTTGATACAAATTAGAGAATTTGTGAAAATCCTTGGTGTGGATAGTAAAGGTAGTGGATGTAGACTTTAGTTTAGAAAGTCGAACCATTCTAAAATTCTTGTGTTCATTTTTTTCTTCATTTTCCCTTCAAGCTCCCACCAAATTTTTATTTGCCAATGTTCCCCTCTTGGCTATTTCATAAGATTTGGTTCTCATTTCCTAAGAATCAAAGGTTTATTTTGGATGTGTCGAGGACCATTTTTTAAAATTCAATCCCTAGCTATCGAATTTTAAAAAAATATGAAAAATTTGAACCAACAAGACATACCTTAATCGGAGAATTCTTCCCCATAAGAGATAAACTAACTTCTACAATGCACTAAAATTTGGGGCAAAATCAACAAATTGCCCAATTAATGAGTATCTCCATTAAGAAATTTCTTTTTGGAAGACTTCCAATAGAGGCCGAATTGTAACTGAACCCTCAAAATCCGAAGGAAGAAAAAATTACAAAGTCTGTTTGTCAACACTGCTTAAAGCTTCATCCAATAAACAACTCTCCCACTATAAAACTCCATACATAAATCGAATTGAACCAAACACATAAAAGATATTGAAGTCTAACCAAAAAAGAGATGATAACGAAGATGAAGTAGAAATTTTAGTATCCATTAGCCTTACTAACATGCTAACATGCAGAGGTGGATGTACCAAGGTATATAATCCTTATTTTAAGAAAAAAATTAAATTGAATTTAATATATTAAAGAAAAATTTAAATTATTTTGCATATCTATTATTTAAAAAAATAATTTTATATTTCATTCTTAAATTTCTGAATTCGTTACTACATGCATCCGGAGAGAACATAATATGAGCCATCTTTTGCATATATAAATTTTTATATGCAACTTATAATCGTAAATAATTTTTTAAAATATAATTTTTAATTAAAATATTTTCATTTCAATAAAGATTCACCGATATTTTTAAGGAAAAAACCAAAGAAATGACGTCATATATTTTATTATCATTCAATCAACTTGTAAAACAAAGTTGCTTTTAAAAAATAGAACAATAATTAAAAAAAAACCTTGAGTCTCGACAATGAAAATGAAAGCAGCCAACCAGTAGATGCCACTTAAGAAAATCATACATCAATTAAATTCCAAGAAATTCTATATTTCCACGTGGCGAAACATGAGTTGTTAAGAATCTTTCTGTGGACAGTATACTTGTTTGTCATTTGACCTTTTTAAAGTCCCGACACGAAATTTCAAACAAATTAACAGCTAAAACTAAGGGCTAAATTATCACAACCCCAAAGGTCTCCCTTGAAAACCAACTCTAATGTGTTAACGCCACGTGGTGAAAATGGTCCAGTTAAATTATTTAGACTTCCTAGATTACACGTGTGCTGATATAATTAGTCGTTGAGGTTCTGTACAAAATCGTCTTCTGTTGGTTTAATATTTCTGAAAACATTTGATATATATATATATATATATTTTTCCACCCCCTCTTTTATATGAAAATCCCAAAGCTTCTTTCTTTGTTCCTTCTTCTCTTGTCACCGTTTTCTGTAATTTGTTTTCTTTTGGGGATTTTTTCAGTTACAAAAAAAAAAAAATAATCTATTTTACCGAAATGCCCTTGTACTTGCATTAAAACCCAGATTTATTTCCTTGAGTAAAACCTTTTTCTAAAATAGATTTCTTTTTTTTTCTTTTGCAAGGTTGGGTTTTGTTACCAGGTGCAGGAAAACCCTAATCTTTTTGTTCATTTCCTTATGCTTTTGCAGATTTTCTTCTTCTATTTTTAAAGGTTTAAAGACGATGTAAAGAAAGAATCTTCAAGGTGAAGGTGAGAGCTTTGGCTTTTGATCTAATAATTCTTTGTTTTCTTTGTTGGACTTTTGGTTAATTTGTAATGGGGTTTGTTCTTGAGGGGTTTTTGTTTTTTAATTTATAATGTAGATTATGGAAATTTTAATGAAAAAAATGAATTGGCTTTTGTTTGGATTAAGCATTGGAGTTGAATTTGTAGTATGCTTTTGTTTTTCAAGTTTCTTTGGATGAGCTTTGATAAATTTATAGAATGAATTGGTCCAATAAATCAAGTTCTTTATATTACCCTTTTGATCTAAGAATATAAGTTAAGTTTCTTTGAGAATAAAATTGACTATGCTATCAATTAAACTTCTTTGGCTAACATGGAAAGATGAACAAATGTTGTGATTGTTTGTGCATTATGAGGAATTTCGAAGTCGAAACGGAAATTCTAATTTAATAAAACTATGAATCTTCATTGCTATATATTGTCTGAAAATTCATTCTACTTCTTAGATGGTAGATTGCATATCTGTGTTTCAGGTTTCCCCAACCTTTGATAGGATCTCAAACTAGATTATTACCTTTCTTCTATTGGAGAATCCAACACCGGTTTAAAGGTACATTTGACATGTAACTAAGATGAGATATATATGCTTTCATGGTTGAAATATAGCTCGGAGAGTTCTCTGCGATGTTGTTATGGTACCTTTGTCTCCTAGTGGACAAACTGAAAGAACTTGGAGTTTGTATTATTTTCATTTAAAATTGAAATTGAGAGCCAGCAGTTGATCCACTCCCCTGAGTTTCCTGGGCCCTTCATTAACTTTTTAGACTTCAAGCTGTTAGTTTTCAAGTCATTAACTTTTTGCTCTTTCATTATGCTGTTAGTCTCCATCCCTGATTGTTTATGCAGGTTTCTGGTTAATAAACTGGATATTCAAGTTCGAGGTACTGAAACATGGTGTGTAATTGTGATGTTTTGTTGTTTTGTATAACCAGGATATAGGATCATTGTTTCTTTTTCTTGTGGGGACAATGATCCTATCAAAGAAGTATCGTTGTATACACTCATCTAGCTGTCAATGCACAAAGGGTCATCTAAGCGAAGATGTAATTTTCCTAGTGTTTCAACAACTCAACTGGAATCCTAAGTTGATCGCCAGTCTTTCATGCGTATGCAAATGGTTCGATGATCTTTCCAAGAGAGTACTGTGGAAAGAATTCTGCAAAACGAGGGCCCCGAAGATGATGCTTGATCTTCAGACTAGTGGAAGTCACAGTGTTGATGGGAACTGGAGAGCACTCGGAAAACTGCTTATCTATTGTTCGGGTTGTAGTGCTGGTCGCTTGTTCAACAGTGTTCAAATACCTGGCCATTTTGTTTACAGGACCAGGTTCTCGAGGACATCAGGCAAGAGCTACCTTCTACCACAATGCAGAACTGATATTTTATATGTGTCCGACCCTTGTGAACATCTGGACCAAGGGGAGGAGGGCGATGTGGGATTTGTTCGAGGAGTTTTCAAGTCGTTCTTGGTTTCAAAGGTTCGGAAGATGTTGATTGACAGGGCAGCAAAGCTTCACCCGACAGCTGTGTGCCCATATTGTAAGGCAAAGTTGTGGGACATGCTGCAAGCTAAAATGATACCGCAAAGTGCAAGCTGCATGCTGGGTGCTTATGAGGAATGCATCGAGTATTATGTGTGCCTTAACGGACATATGCTTGGCATCTGCACTCTGTTACCATTGTCTGATTCTGAAGCGGCATCTGAACCAGAGTGATAGTTTTGAATGCAACCCAGGTAACCTCATGCGGAAAGAATTCATATTTCATGTAAAAGGAATTACACATTTTAGAAAATTGGCAATGATTGTGTGTGGTTAGTTCAAACACAAATTGCTCAATGGAAGACCTGTTCTTTGTTGCAAGCCTATACTCCTTAGGCAGACATTATATCATCCGTAGTGCTGCCTCCATCTTTTATTTCTTGAGAGAGGGTAATTAGATTCTTAGTGTTGACTCCTTTTTCTCCATGTACATTCGTAGTGTGGTTCATTAGATTTTTGCGTAAATCACATTAACTATCCTTTGTCATAGAACAAGCAATGCATACGGTGTAGGTTAATAATCCTTCCTTGGAGTTTATGTGAATTATTGGCTGACAAAATATACGTATGTCTGACTAAATATATTGTGTTGTTGGCTGTTCATTTGTCGTCCCATGTGTGGATTGATCAAGACAAGATGGACTGTGCTAACATTGGAGCTGAAATCAACCATCATAACTCGATCGCTTCTCTCTAGTGCTTTGCAATTTCGTCGAAAGTCCTCACCGAGTGTTTTCCTAGAAGGGTTAGAAGCTATGCTAACCATTTGCTTTTTTCGATTCTCCATTGGTTAAATAGTGATTAGTGTGAAACGTGTAATACACTACTTTGTGCATATATCATGTATGGTTCATATGTGCTTGAAAAGCTAATTGCCATCTCCAGTAATTCATTCCCTTGATTTTCAAAAGATTTTGAAGGTTGCCTTGTCTTCCGTACAACGTTGGAAAGGGTATCTCTTAGTCCAGGTTTTCGAGTACATTGTTCCTATTACATTCTTTCACTTTGAGTTGAGTTTGAGTATTGTTGAGTTCGACTTGACTCGAAAACTCAAAACTAGAGTTCGACTTGACTCGAAAACTCAAAACTAGAGCTCAATTTGTCTCAAAAACTCGCGAGTCTAAAATTTTCAATCTCAACTCTAACGTGTTTCGTTTTCCACGTCAAATAATTTCTTTCTCGAATAAAAATAAAAATAAATAAAGAAAATTAAATTGAATAGTATAGTATAGGAGAAGTAGGGTTGATATCATAGGGACTAACGAGGCTAATTAATTTCTTTATCTTTGATTATGGCCTAGGTGTAATTTGCGTGGAAAGTAAATAAGATGAGGGGAATTTGATGGCTTTGAGAATTAAAAAAATGAATGAAAGATAATACAGAAATTAAAAGAAGAAAATAATTAAATAAAATAAAGAAAAGTAAATTAAAGAAAATAAAATTTGAAAATTTAGTTGATTTAGGCAGCCTTGGGTAATAGTTCTGACTCAAATTCTTTGGATCATCGAAACGGATTTATCCTTTGGGATTTACGTCGGTTATTGCGTCAAGCATGGGCAATCCACGCGACTAAGTTCTACACCGAATACCAAGTCAATCTTCGATTTCAGTTTTGGAAATTAATCAAACCAAGGCAATCTTGATAATGATCAAGATCCAATCGCATTTGCAACCAACTTGGACAAGATATTTCAATAATCGATTCCCCGATCTCAATTTCCTCTTAACAAGGCAATCTTGTTAAATTGTGTTCCTTGGAAGTCGAATGTGCTTTAAGCTGATCATTCCTCCCACATATAATCACGACAATAATCAAGACCGAAATTAATCTTTAGTTTTGAAAATTTGTTTTGATTTTATAATAATAAGTGCAGAGTGAGAAAAATTCTGAAGTAAGTGAAGTGCTATTCAATTCTCTCATCAAAATTGAGTCACTGCTTTTACATGCGGCTAAAAAGGAAAATTAGTTAAACATGACAAAAGTCATACTTAGCATTAAAAATAAAAACTTTAAAAGAAAAATAACAGAGAAAGCAAAAGAAGAAATTTAATAAAAGTAAAATGAATGAAAGAACAAGAGAATTCTGATGATTCGAGATATTGAATGATGAAATGGCTTACCCGAGATGGGTATTTATAGCCTTCTAAAACCTTAAAAATGATGAAAACAAATCAAATAAATTACAAAAGATAAATCCTAAAAATGTTTGAATTTAATTCTAAAAGATAAATCTAATTTCTTGAATTTGAATTGCTTAGCCGTCCGCACGTCTTCCAGAAGCTTGCTGATTGGACCTTCTAGAAGCTATTGACTCATTGCCACGTCAGTATTTCATGCCTACCATTCCAGTCTTGATTTTAGAATAAAAAGTCAGTTTCGACCCTTTTTAGCACATTTTCCAGAAACTATTATCCTGCACAAAAAATGTAAAAGCACCCAATTCAGTAGAGAACATGAAAAAACAGCTAGCAATTAAACAAGAAAAGTGGCACAAAATAAACCTCTGTCAAACTTAAACTCAAAACCATGAATTGAAGCTCATAAATTCTTGAAATTAAAAAATTTCTCAAATTTAACTCGATTGAAGCTCAAACTCGAACTCGAACCTTAAATACATGAAAATTTTATACTGTATTTTTTTGAAATATCAACACATAAATGTTAATATTATTAATAATTTATTTTTTAAATAAATTCTTAGTATATTATTTTTCAACAGAGTTATCGAAGTCAAAGCAAAATAAAAACGGATTTTACTAAACTAACCTGTAGTAATAGCGATATCAGATCGAATCCCAAGAGAAGTTAAATTAGAATATCAATGTTAAAGCAATAAAAGTAAAATTGTGGGTTTTTTATTTATGAAACTAAAAACAATAAATAAAGATAAAAATAAAATAACGAAAAATCAATTCTTACCGAACTTCCAATTCATAGGTGTGTTCTTCATCCGTATATAATTTTGATCATAGGCTTAAAAGATCGATTTTTCAATATCCAAGTAATTAGTCACTTGCTCATAGCAGTAACAAGTGTGGTTCCACTTTTATAATTGATTAACGTACTCATGTACAACATACATTCAAATCAAATCTTACCATCAATGATGGCTATAAGAACCATGGGAATGACTAAAACAAAATCAATTAATTTCGTACATTTACTTCCCCAGAGACTATCATGTGCGATGTCAAGTTTGAATAATAAATCGTAATAAGCACAAATCATGAGACTTACCCCTTGATACTTATGATTAGTGATAGAAAACTCAATATCGAATTGAGTTGTCAATTTAATCAATATCAAGAATTCGTAAAATAAGAACAAGAAATAAAGATTACTTGGATTAAATGAAAAATACTAGTTGAGCACAAACCTCACAAAATTACAGCGGAATTGTTTCACCTTTGAATCAAAAATAAAAGTTTAGTCACTCATGGTTGGATGAAATTACAAGAGAGAAAAAGAAGTGTTGTAGAAAGATAGATAATTTATAATGAGACAATTGAACTCTTTATATAGAGAGCCAAAACCCTAAAAGAAAGGTAAGTCACTTTTAATAAATTCTAAATCAAATAAAGAAAGAGCTAAAATAAAGGTAACCCAAAATAAATAAAGTACTAATAGAAAAGAGATTGATTTTTGGCCATATACTTTCAAAATAATGGTAATATCTATAAAAGTGAGTTTTATCCCGAACTTGCTTCCAAAAAGTCAGACTTTTCATATCAGATAGTAGTCGCATGTTCTTCATAAGGCATCGTCATGCCTTATCAAAGATAGTCTTATGCTCAATTCCACATTCTTCCAAAAGACTTGATTCTTATATAGAAGGCTAAAGACAATTTATAGATGATTTTCACCATTGCATCCATATTTGATCTCCTAAATCGATACAAATATAATTTCCACAATAAAACCCAAAATAACATCCATGAAAAAATGTCATGTTTATCCGCGATCAATGCATTATAATTTCACACTTTGACATATAAATGTCATGTTGAAGTTATGAAAAATGACATAATATAATGCTGTTATAAACAAGGTAGACTTGTCGCAAGTCTTCTTGATGATGTATGAAACATCTATGTACAATGTCATGCATGTATTGCACTCATATTGACACATTATATCAAAAGATGTACCTCACTATGTTCCACACTTAATCCTTTTATAGTTGATTTGCTTCGAGCACAAAATTAATCATGATATGTACAAAATCACATATTGATATCAATACATATCTTAGTATTGTACTAACATAAATACATTTCCAAAAAAAAATCCATAATTATAATTGAAAGTTATTCTCTATCAAAATACTTTAACACTTAATAATTCTTTTAATACTGACACCAACTTTTTCAATTTACACAAAATGGTCATTCAACATTTTATCACTTAAATTTTTAATACCAAAATTTCAGCATTGAAATAATTACCATCCAAGTACTTTTACAAAGGCACAATTACATTTAAGCACCCCAATTATATGGATATTGCACTTAAATCACCATTTTTTCAAACTTCCAAAATGGTCATATTTCACATCTTAACACTCATTTCAATTCCCAAATAGTAATTTACAACATAGTACATCAACTATTAAAAAATTACACAACCATTCAGAACTTTTCCAAAATTATAGATTTGGTCCCCCAACTTTTCAAAAATTATAGAATGGTCCCCAAATTTTTATAAGGCTTGTAGAATACTTCCTACATCATTTTCAGCCCTTACAAAATTTTTCCATAATTTTTGTCACTGAAACATGCCATGGCTGGATGCTTTAAACCTTTAAAACTAGGATTTTCATGATTTTGCTCGATTTTGATTCGATTCAAGCATGAAATCCACTTCCATACAACCTTACAACATCTCTACAATAAAAAACCCTAATAAATTTTTATTAAAACACAAAGTTCTACAACTCCATCATTTGACCAAAAATCATAGAAGTATCACTAGGAAGATTGAAAGCGTTTTAATCAACAAAAAGCTTGAAAATGAAACTACAACCTCAAAAACATCAAGATTCATCATCAATTTCATGAACCTAGTGTGAACACAAACCCTATAATTGGGGATCTTTGAAATCAAGCAAGATTAATAAAACATAATTGGTACCAAAAGATAACTTTTCTCGTATAGAACAATTTTCTATTTCACGGCATAACTCGAAATCCAAAGGAAATTACTCAACAATGGAAAACAAAATTTTTCCTTACCTTAGGAGGGTTCACGGAAATGGAGAAGATGGTGAACAAATTGGCATGAAATTTTAGATTAATTTCATGTTAATTTACCTTTAATTTAAGCTTTTATGAATATTAAATTCATTTAATTGGGAAAAGACCAATTTACCCTTAATGAAACTTCATATTTACCATCAAACCAAGACACCTCAACCTTATCATCTTCTAAAAGTCAAAGATGAACAAACAAAATCATACTTTACCAAATTTCCCTTGCATTTTCCTAAAAATTTATAATCTTGCCACTTTAACCCAACGATCCAAATTAAACATGAAATTAAATCCTCAAATCCAAAGATTTGTATTATTTTCCAACATTTAAAAATGTGGAAATAATATTTTTAGGTCTAATTTATCATC